CACTGCGCAGAACCGGGAGGACCAGACGATGCCCAAATACAGCCAAGGTCAAGGTCAAGTTTATTTATAAAGCACATTTAAAACAACAATGCTGCCCAAAGTGCTGTACACAAAAATACATGTATATAAAATACACAATTTGAATATAATAAAATTAAAATACAGATGCGGAAAAACAAAATTCAACACCAGCAAAAAAAGTCCTGCTCAGTTTTAATTAAAGGACTTCGCAAACAAATGGGTCTTCAACATAGACTTAAAAATGCCTAAAGACTGGGCTGCCCTAATATTTAAGGGGAGACCATTCCAAAGCGTCGGAGCCGCGACAGCAAAAGCCCGGTCTCCTCTGGTCGACATTCGTGACCTCGGTACGTCTAACAGAAACTCGTTAGCTGACCTCAATGTTCTGCTCGGAGTATGAACAGACAGAAGCTCAGAAAGGTACGCAGGAGCCGTCCCATTCAAACACTTAAACACCAACAACAGCATTTTAAACTGAATTCTGTGTTTTACAGGGAGCCAATGTAAAGAGGCCAACACAGGGGTTATATGTTCAAACCTTTTGGTTCCCGTGAGCAGACGCGCTGCAGCGTTCTGTACCAACTGCAGGCGATGGATCGAGCTTTGGTCTAGCCCACAATACAACGAGTTACAGTAATCCAAGCGGCATGTTATAAAGGCATGAATCACACTCTCCAGATCTCTATGTGGTAAATACGGCTTAATTTTACTCAGAAGACGCAGTTGGTAAAAACTTGACTTTACAACTGAACCTATTTGCTTGTCCAACTTAAAAGATCCATCTAGGACCACACCAAGGTTCCTGGCTGACTGGTGACAGTAGCCTTTTAGTGGGCCAAGAACAGATGGATCAGACAAATTTCCAAAAACGACAATTTCCGTTTTAGATTCATTAAGTTTTAGAAAATTCTGGGCCAACCAGTCCTTTACATCCTGAATACAATGTAACAGAGCTTGGATGCCATCTGAACCTGGTTTCAATGGCAGATAGACTTGCAGGTCGTCTGCAAAACAATGAAAGGGAATCTTATGTTTTTTGAAAATAGACCCAAGGGGCAACAGGTACAGTGAGAACAATAAGGGACCTAAAACTGAGCCCTGTGGCACTCCGCAGCTCAGTGGGGCCGCATCTGAGCTGTAAGGTCCCAGGTGGAGAGAGAAGGAGCGATTTTCAAGATATGATCTGAACCATTTTAGGACCGTTCCTCCAATACCAACATGGTTTTCAAGGCGGGAAAGCAGTATTTGATGGTCCACCGTGTCAAACGCTGCAGTTAAATCTAAAAGCACTAAAATAGTGGGGTGACCCGAATCAACATTTAAAAGAAGGTCATTAAAAACTCTTAAGAGTGCAGTTTCAGTGCTATGACACGGTTTAAAACCCGACTGAAATTTTTCAAAGAGGCTATTTGCTTCCAAGTGAGACTGAATTTGGGCGTGAACCAATTTCTCCAGAACTTTAGATAAAAAAGGCAACTTAGAAATTGGCCTGAAGTTAGACAGAACTTCAGGATCTAAGCTGTGTTTTTTAAGTAGAGGCTGGACAGCAGCATGCTTGAAAGCACTTGGGACGCTGCCCGAGATCAATGATGAATTAATAATTCTCATTATAAAGGGCCCAATTAGGGTTTAATATTTTTCCCAAAAATGAGACGTACTGTATCAAATCCCGGGAAAAGACGACGCCTTTCCCGGGAAATCCCGGGAAATCCCGGGAAATAGCTGTTGTTTGTAGTTGTTGTTTTTAGCCCAAGTAATGTATGATATCACTCAAACATATAATCCAACAAAACCGGCCATCTCCACTAGTGTTTCACCAAGCGACGTGCTAGCTTTTCTAAAGTAGCCATAGCGTTTTCAGACGTTTTGTTGATGGGCTTTCTTCAGGAATTGCACTAATATGAGATTCTAAATGTCTGCGCAATCCACTTGTCGACCAGTGACGTGCGGTGTGGGTTGGAGGCACTGACTTCAGCCCTGTCAGATGAACATATATCATATAAATCAACAGAACCTACAGAGCGGCTTATTCACAATTAGTTTTGCTACAGCAGAATGTTTTCCATGGCCCGCATTGTTTGCTCAAACAAAACGCAAAAGTTCGTAAAAGGCACATTTCCAATTGTGTTATGGGTCTTACCTTAGTTATTAATGAACAGCACAGACAACTTCAGTTCAGACCAGTTTCATGTTTAAGTCCAGATAATAGTTTGAGTGCAGATATGTAATCCCCCATTTGGAAATAAGCCCAAAGAGTTTTAAAGCGTAAAACAAAACGGGTGCCACCTCCATAAACTCCTGTGTTTTCGCTGCAGCCGGCTCTCGGGCGCATCCAATTTCTAATATCAACCTTCTTACCCTTCTCCTCTCTTCCTTATCATTCCTATCGTCATTGGAAGCAGAACATTACCCTAAATGCATTTTATATGATCTTAAAATGTGTTATATGTATGTTAGCCAAACCTATTGCTGCCCTTAGCAGATGGAAAAAAATAAAGGAGCTTTCTGATAGAATTGGATGTAGCCGAATTCTGGGCTCACATGTACCCCGAGGCTGGCCTCATTACAAGTCGTGGTTTAGCGCGATTAAGACCCATATTTGTTGTCAAAAACACAATTTATGAGCCACCCTCTCAGCTGTAGACATGTAGATTGTAAATGAAATATGTTTGAACTTTGAACAACAATAAACGTGCTCTATAATAGGAGCGCACTGGATTTTTTTTTTTTACTTTCATTTCCCGTTTCCCGTCATAACATTTCCCGGGAATCGGGAAATAGTTTTTATCAGATTTCCCGGGAATCCCGTGTCCCGGGATTAAACCCTAGGCCCAATCACACTGAAGGAGTCTTTAAGAAGTTTAGACGGGACACAGTCAAGTGGACAATCAGAGGGTTTTAACTGGCGCACCACAGTAGACAGTTCATCAAGTGACACAGATTCAAAATGTTCAAGGACCACAGAACAAACAGAATTCACAGAAGGGTCCACAGCAGCACAATGTAATGTAGAATCCCGAATAGCAGATATTTTATCCACAAAGAATCTTTGAAAATTGACACACAAAGTTTCTGATGGTACAATGCCACTGGATTCAGTGGGATTCACAAGGCGATTTAAAACAGTAAAGATAACTTGTGGTTTGTGACCATTTGTAGATATCAGGTTTGACATGTACTCAGTTTTAGCGCATTTTACTGCTCTTTGATAATTAGACTAGTGCTGTCCAACGATTAAAATATTTAATCGCGATTAATCGCATGAATTTCATAGTTCGCGATTAATCGCAAATTAGTCACACATTTGCGTGCTGTGTGCAATTGCTTTTTTTATTGAAAACAATGTGTAGTGTTATATTACACACTAACATTTGATGCAAAATCATCAATAAATGGATGACAAAATAAATAAATGGTAACAAAAAGCCCCTTCAATGTGTGTGTGTGTGTGTGGAGTGCGTGTGTTTATGGGTGTGTGTGTGTATGTGTGGGTATAGACCATAGACTGTATAGAAACATCATGGTGTCATTATGATGATGATAAACAATCTGTAAATATTTTGTAAATTTGTTCATGTAAATACTCTATGCTGTTTCTCTGTTTACTTTCGGTATATCTATGACTGTATACTGTTTGCTTGTATTGCCTTTTTTATTAACCCCTCCCCCCCATCTCCCACTTCATGTCCCCCCCTCCTATGTGCCCTTCTGGGTTTCTTCTTTGGCCCCCTGTATCTCCAACTACATATTGTTTGTAATCTCTGTCTACAATGTATCTGAACTAGTCATTTTCTTTGTTTCTATTTATTTTTTCTGTATATGTGTTTGTCTGCAATAAAAAGTAAAAAAAAAAAAATGTTTATTGCGCGATAAAAAAAATGACGCCGTTAATATTGATTTGCGTTAACGCGTTAATAACGCGATATTTTGGACAGCACTAAATTAGACAAACAATCTCTTAAGATGCCCAGGGAAACATGAAGTCTGTCCTTTTTCCAACGCCTTTCTGCACGTCGGCACTCACGCCTGAGCGCGCGCGTGGTGTCATTTAGCCAGGGCTGGGACTTACTCTTAGGCTTACATGTATTATAAGGAGCAACTAAATCCAGAATTACAGTACACGTAGACGTGAACAAACAAGTTAGCGCATCAGTATCAGAATCACACGACAGTGAAGGCGCAGAAGAAACAAAGGCATTAGAGAATGCCTCTGCTGTAGAGGACGTGATTACGCGTCGCCTGCGCGCCATGGCACATGGAGCCAAAAGGCAGGGAAGATTCAGTGAAAACAAAACAGGTATATGATCCGAAATCTGTGTATTACAGAGATCCTCGATGCGTACAGTCAAACCATAAGATAGAACGAGATCGAGTGTGCGCCCCTTTTCATGCGTGGGGCCACTGACCCACTGCGTCAGATTAAAAGAGTCAATCACAGTTTTAAAATCCTTGACCAAAGGCTTGGATTCACAACAGACATGGATATTAAAATCACCAGCTATTAGAAAATGGTCAAATTTAAGAGCAATTCCTGCTAAAAGTCCGAAAAGTCCACAATAAAATCTTTATTGAATTTAGGCAGACGATAAATGAGCGCGCACAACACAGGCACGCTACGCTGTATCACAAATAGCTGCAGTTCAAAGCTCGAAAATGAGTTTGATGGATACTGACGGCATTTAAGAACAGAATTAAATACAGTGGCAAGCCCTCCACCTTTGCCAGAGGTACGAGGAGTGCTAATAAAGTCACAGTCAGGAGGAAGGAGCTCAGAAAAGGCTGAACACTCACCGGGCCGAATCCAAGTTTCTGTCAAAAGCATTAGATCCAAATGACGAGATACAAAAAAATCATTGAGTACGAAGGTCTTATTCACTAATGATCTGACATTCATTAGCGCAATATGAAGAAAGTCCTCATTGTTAGGCATGCGGGCATGGGTTAGCATGCAAAGGTTTTCCTGGTTTACTCCTGGGCGGCTAGCTCTGCGTCTCCGGGGACTGATCCACTCCAAAGGCGGCGTTGACATCGGGTGAGTCCCGATAGGGGCTCCAATCAGCGGTATAGGGACAAGCCAGCGCCGATGATCTCCAGAAGCGTGACCATAATGTGGAGAAAAGCCTTTTTTGGCACGTTGGTAAGCTCTAACTTTTACCAGGATGCCACCTCGTTTCCCTCTCCTGCGTTTCCTACGAAGCACACCAAGAGGAGCAACGCGCAGGTGAGCCGGTATAGAAGCTAAAAGTGGCGGTGGTGGTGGACATGAATCCTGTTTGGCAAAACAGTGCTTCAAGTAGGTTTCATACGAAGTCCGAATATTTAGTAATGCCCTGCGGTCATACACAAGTGATGCAGAGACATTAGAGCAATAGACACAAATCCATAGAATTAACAAAACTCCAAATAGGACAGGGAGACGGAGCGCCGTGCACACTGCTGGCGCCATCTTCAGCCGAGTTCCTCTGATATGTCAGCGCCCGTGAAGTCCCATACGCTACTGAGCACAATCAGAATCAGAATCATTTTTATTGCCACGTAAGTAACAGGAAGTCACAGACTTGGAAATTGCTTTGGCTCAGTGCAGAACAGTCAGAAAGAGAAGTAAAGGGAGAGAGGCATAATAAAAAATTAAATAAAATGCACTTCTAAGGAATAAATTTAAATTTAAAATAGAGTTACAATTACTATACACAATATACAAGTGCACATGGTACACACAATGTAAGGTGACAGCAGTAAAGTGAAGTAAAGTGACGTATGATGGGCAGTAAAGGGACTTTATAAGGGCAGTGAGGGGACTTCTAGAGGGCGGGGGGACAGGTTATGAAGTGTTCAAGAGTCCAACAGCAGAGGGGAAGAAACTGTTCTTGTGGCGGGAAGTTCTAGTCCTGATGGACCGCAACCTCCTGCCTGAGGGGAGTGGTTGGAATAGTCCATGTGCAGGGTGAGAGGGGTCGGCTGTGATACGACCAGCCCGGCCTTGAGCTCGGGCGACGTACAGGTCCTGCAGCGATGGGAGGCTGCGGCCGATCACCTTCTCTGCAGAGCGCACAATGCACTGTAGTCTTAGCCTGGTGAGACCAAAATGATTCCCCTCTGTATTTTTTATCCAGCGGGGGATCAGTCTGGTCACCCAGTCAACGCTCGCGCCTTCCGCAAAATTAATCCGTTCACGACCAATCTGAATCGTTTATTTGCCGTGACGTGTTGTTAGCAAGCAACGTCACTCTTGCGCGGCGGAAGTCCCCTCAATAACAATAGAGATGGCACACGAGAGAGATGAAAGTTTGTTCAACTCAGCGGTAAATTCGGTTTTAAATGACCAAAATCACATCAAGTCATTAAAACCCCAACAGTTAACAGCACTGGAAGCCTTTCTTTCAAAAGAAGATGTTTTTGCATTGCTTCCTACTGGCTTTGGGAAGAGTTTAATATATCAGTTGGCTCCGCTTGTTGCAAAAAAGATGTCATTATACAAAAATCCTGTTGTGGTCGTGGTGTCTCCTCTGCTTGCGCTCATGGAGCAGCAAGTAACCGAGGCCTTGAAAGTCGGAGTTACCGAAATGCAGATCGGAGTAAATACTGACGAGGAGATTTTCAGAGGCAAAGCGGAGTTGTTGTTTGGTAGCCCAGAGGCATGGCTCCTGAACGAGAAATGGAGACGCCTGTTGTCTAACCAGCAGGAGCTGGTCGGCATTGTAGTCGATGAAGTACACCTCACTTACAAATGGTAAGCTTTTCTTTTGTAACGGTGCGTAACTAAACATCAATAAGTGTTAAGAGTGTGATGTTGTTAGAATTTACTTTTTGCTCCAACTCATTCACCACAATATGCTAATGCTTTATTCTGCGTGTGTTTTTCCTATAGGGGACTTGCCGAGAAAGGACAAAGTGCCTTCAGAGAGTGTTTTGCTAGACTTGGAGAATTGCGGTCCATTGTCAAAGCAGGTTTGTTATGTAATCAGTGCCTATTTGAGATGTTTATTTATTTTTGGGTGCAAAAATATAACATAAGCATACACATTTTTGTTTTCAATTAAATATTGCAGTTTATTAATGTCATTATAAATGTGTGTTACAGGGACACCTATTATGGCCCTAACCGCTTCTGCAGATGTCCAGTCAAGAGCCAGAGTGATAAAGCAGCTTCATCTAGAAAAGGCAGTGACTCTGATAGAAAGCCCAAACAGGTCCAACATTAGACTTGGATTGACCCATATTCGTGGACCTCACCTGGACTGCATGGACTGGATAGTACAGGAAGTCAAAGAAATGGGAATTACCATGTCCCCTGTTCTTATTTACTGTCGGACTATAAAAGAGGTTGGAAGAGTCTTTTGCTACCTAAAAGCTGAACTGGATGAAGATTGCTGGGTGGGGAGAGATCCTATGCACCAAGCAGACAATATGATTATTAGGATGTTTCACAGCAAAACACTACCACAAAATAAGACCCGAGTGCTGTCTTCTTTGAGCGGAGAAGGCAACTGTAAAGTTGTAGTTGCAACTACGGCCCTTGGAATGGGTTTGAATTTTCCTAATATTTCCCATGTGGTTATGTATGGCGTTCCAGAGGACATTGAAGCAATTGTGCAGGAAATAGGCAGAGCAGGCAGGAATGGAGAACAGTCACATGCAGTTATTTATTGCATTAAACAGTACACTAAGGTGGATCAAGTTGTCAAGGAGTTGCTAAATTCAAAAATACATGGTTGCTTTAGGAAGGCTTTGTACAGCCATTTTGACGAACAAGCCACTGCAGTCATGCCAGGTCATCAGTGTTGCACCTACTGTCACTCAGTATGCCAATGTAACCCAGAAGGTTGCCAAGAGACTACTCCTGTTTATGAACTGCCCCAAACGGTTGTTCCGGCACATCATGTTAGTAGAGAGGTGGCAGACGACGACAAGGTGCTCTTAAGGGACCTCTTGGTGCAATATCAAATGACTTTAGTTAAGAACAAAGTTTTATACACAAAAATAACTGCTTGTACTGGATTTGGCTCTGAACTGATTGATGCTGTCATAGAGCACAGTAAATATATCTTTGATGTACAATATATTGCCAAGCACCTACCAGTATTTAATCAAAGTCACGCACACGCTATTCTCCAAATTATTAATGACGTTTTTGAAGACATTACAAATTGCCCAGGACCTACTTCTGCACTACCTGAAACCGTTATCTTTCCAGACATATATTACACAGGATATTTTGATGAGCCAGACATGGAGCAACACACATCGGCAAGTAGTTCAGAGTCTGGAGTCAATGTTCTTGAAGGTTCAGATTAATTTTGGATCATGTCAGCACTGCTAAAGTTACACTGTTAGTGCTATGAAGGAATTTTAAAGGAACTTCTGTATTTTATCTTGTGTGACACCAAAAATAAACGATTTCTAAAGAAAAAATACCATTTACAGCTTTTTATTTAATTATATAACAAATGTATTTTAATATAAAATATAGCTCTCGTTGGACACAATTTAAACATGCAAATGTTCTAAATAGCAGTGCTAGTTTTTATCAAGTAGTGCAAGTAAAAGATGCATTGTCAGTAGCAAGTTCAAAGACAAACATCTACAATGTATTTGATTAAAGTGCAACTTTTCTCCAGTCTTTAATTTTTGTTTGGATCCACAGGTACAGGTCAGCGTAATTCAGTCTTTCAAGCAAGTCTTTCCCAAAAGAAGGAAATTACTGGTATTCTCTCCCTGGCTGCTCTTTGAAAATGTGTCCGTCCTTGAATATGGCCACTAGAGTTGCAATGTCTTGCTCCTCTCCTGTTGTATGGTGCACACCACTTGGTTTGGTGACCTCAAGCTCCCTGTCAGTGTTGTCCATCATTTCTTTGAGGATGCCAATGGATTTACTGATTCGGTTTGCAGAGTTCTCAGTAAGATTTGGGCCAAGACCTTTCAGAAAAGACTTAAGGTAATTGTTCATGTGCTCCAAGTGCAAGTCAAGTGGTATGTTTTTTCCTTGCCCACCTCTTCCATTCCAGAATCTGTTCCATTTTAGACTGTGGGCCATTCTCGGAGACAGTGTGACATTAAGTTGCAAAGTTAATAATAGAGTGCTATATGCATATTGGGTGTGACCATACGCCTTATAGAAAAGGAGAGCAACTTGGTATAGTCGCATTAGCCGTTCTCCATCACCCTCTTTTACTGCATCCATCATGTTCAGCAACAAAAAGCTGAAGCCTAACCTTGCTTCCGAGTGCTCTTTGATGGAGTCTGGCTTTATTGTTGTAGTTGTAGAGGGTGATGGTGGGGAAGAGAGCACTAGATTGTGTTTCTTCTTTTCATGTATTTCCCTTGCATTCGAAGATGTGTATGCTGTAGTACAGTTGAGGTCACGACATTGGAATTGAGCAGTAGGTTGGCCATTTGCTTTGCAGAAGATTTCCGGCATCATGACATACTTTTCTATCAACTCAGACGTTTTATCATGAAGCCACGTCCTCTGGTCTGCTGGGGATCCAGATTCTATGTCAGCTGGAATGAAATTGTCTGGCGTATCTGTGTACACAAAAAGATTTAAAAAATGAGTTATTCTTTCACATCCATTATATTCAACATGGAAATCAGAAATGTTTGGTACTTTTACTTCACATAATCACCATAAAATGTAATTAATTATTTGTACTTTTTAGCCTGTATCTATACTTTTTACACTGCTGCATTTTTAACCATATTAAAAACATCAATTAAAAGTAGAGTAAAATTATTCTTAGTAGTAGTTTTAAAGCCTGTATTTTTATGTTGACCTCTTAGTGATCTCGTTTGGGGACTCTAAAAACGCTGTAAAGTCATTACGATCAGAAGAAGATATGCATCACGGCTCGCTTGATAGCAGCCCAATTGTTCATAAAAATACCACTCATGTAACTCTCTTAAGTTTAAAAAAACTGTGAAAAATACTTTTAGTATTGTATTTCAAAAGTACAGACTTTGAGATATACAAACAAAAAGACATGACATGCCTGACAAATCCTTCAGCCCAAAGTGCTCCAGAGCTGCAGCCAGGAAAAGTGCGGTAGTGTCTTTCCTTAAAAATTTTTTATAGGCATCGTAAGCTGCTGTTGGGCCTTGTTTTGCATTGGAACACCTGCACACACACACACAACAATTAAGCAAAAGTATTTTTTTCTGTATTTTTCACTATTTTCTTTATGTGAACAATTCATGTTTCATAAAATACAATAACATGAGTACAACACCGTGCCTTATTCATGGTGACAGGACAGATCATTTCATTTCATGGGGCATCCAGACAATTCATGTTGTCTTGGAAGCACTGGAAGAGAATGTACACAAAAGAAAAGCGTCACAAACGTCAAGTTCAACATGCTTTGACAAACATGCACAAACACTCTCATTCTGAATAGCACACTAGAAAAATGCAGCTGTAGTTTAAAATGTACCTCAACACATTCATGTTTGAAAAAAGTGTTCCATGATCTTTTGATGAGGTCTTATTACAAAATAATTTGTAATGGATCTGTGAAATTAAAGTAAATGTCAAAGTACTGCTCGTGATTTTAAAGTATTTAGCAACCTCACAGACCTGAAAAAGATTTCTGATGGCATGCCAATCTTCGAACTTAAATGCCAATCCTTCGAGTCGTTCTTCTTCTGTAGCTCCGTCCGCAAAACCCCACTGAAGATTACGACAGTTACCCTCAGTTAGGCGGTCACCACCTACAAACACCTTTTCCAAGCCACTTGGTCCCTTTGGTACATACCTGGATAGAGAGAAGATGAAAATGTGTAAAACATTGTGGTGCAGAGTTAATATTATGGTAATTTAATATTACTTTTTGAAGATACAACAGTACATCGGACAACTCCCCAGTTATGTTTTCATTTTTGAAGATCAGTCCAAGGGGGTACTGTAAAAGTAAAGTCAGTAATTAACATCCCTGCAATACATGTTTCTGCAGTGAAACACTGTGTTAAGTTCTACTTACGTCTGTGGAGTGTAATGACATTTCTTCAGAATGGTCATGCGGAATGTGATGCAAAACAACCTTGTGAAGTGGCTTTAAAACATCAAGATGTTGAGTGAGAAGTCTGCTACCCAACACTATAAACTCTCTTTGTACGTGAGCTTGTGTTTCTGATCCTGGGAGAGAGCGACTAAGATTGTAAGTGGTGAAGTCAATGGGCCTCATTCACGAACGGTTCTTAGGAACAGATTTGTACGTAAATCCTACTTATAGGATCTATACGGGTCTGCGCTGGTGTCTCCCATGGATCTATACGGGTCTGCACTGGTCTCTCCCATGGATCTATACTGGTCTGCACTGGTCTCTCCCATGGATCTATACGGGTCTGCACTGGTCTCTCCCATGGATCTATACTGGTCTGCACTGGTCTCTCCCATGGATCTAGACGGGTCTGCACTGGTCTCTCCCATGGATCTAGACGGGTCTGCACTGGTCTCTCCATACGGGTCCGTGCTGCATGCTCCTGGATCCATACGGGTCCGCGCTGGTCTCTCAAGTCTGGTCTATGCGGTCTATCTTCGGTCCGCGCTGGTCTCTGCGCACCGGTCTCTCCAGTCAGGTCACTCCAGTCTATGCGGTCTCTCCTATAGGTCCGCGCTGGTTTCTGTGTGCTGGTCACTCCAGTCTCTCCTCGGGTCTGCATTGGTCTCAGCGCTGGTCCGCGCTGGATCTCCTCCCAGGGTCCAAAATATTTTGAGATTAATCTCAAAACATTTTGAGATTCATCTTTAAAATAATACATAATATATTTTTAAATTAAGCTCATAACATTTTGAGATTAATCTCATCATATTCTTAGATTAATCTCATAATTTTGCTAGTTCGACTTTATGATATTTAATTATCATAACATTTCGACTTTTAAGTCAACATTTTATAACTTTATTCTCAGTCTGGTAAAAGAAGAAAAAAGGGTGACTCTTTTGCTCCGTGTAATTTGCTTTAGGCCTGTTGCTGTTTCCTCTGCCGTCTGCACACGGCCCTGCAGTCCCTTATATGGGCATTAGTGGGCGGTTACTTATGCTAAGTACCTATGCTAATGAAGCACCTGGCACGCGCGCTGTACTTACGAGGAAATGGGATTCATCAATCTGAGAGAACAGCTGCGAACAATTCAGCGGCTTACGAGTGCGTTGATGAATCCCACGTGGGGACTTCTTAGAAATCTACTTAAGGACAACTTGAGAAGAAAGTTGAGTAGTTTCTTACGAAGTTATTCGTGAATGAGGCCCAATATCTGGCCTTACATCAATCACTTAGGTGGCTTGTTTGAATTCGATCTTCAACAGCAATGTGATGTATCCAGTGGAGGGATGTATTGCTGGTGAGTAGTGACTGCTGGTGAGTCTTCATGAAGAAGTCTAAGTTGTCCATTATTACAGAGTATGTGGGTGGCAGCTCTGGCTGTGTGGTATAAGGTGGTGGAGAGTTCACTTCTGTAGTCTCTGAAGCTGGTAGTTGGCTTTCAGTATTGTCAACTGTAGAAATTGTCAAATTAACAACATTAGAAACGATACTAAATACTAAATACCACAAAAAATATATATTTTTAAAGTTATATTTAAGTGTAGTGGTATTGCACCTGATAATGTGAGGTCCTCCATGTTATCATTCACACTTGTCATGTCCACAGGGTGCCCATCTGCTTTAGAGGTCAAGTAAAGTTCAGTGGAAACTTTTAGCTCCTGCAGTCTTTCACCGCAGGTGGCAGCCAACTCCTTTTGTTTGCCTATTGCATGCTGGTATGATGTGGTGATGGCCATTTTGCTTAACCTTTTGAAGGCTGCTTTTTTCGCACCTCCATGCTGAAGTATACTGTTTATATAGTATGCAAAGGCTGACATCCGCGGTTCTCTCCCCCGTAGTGCTATACAAAGTGCAGCACAAGCAGCTGGTACACTTTTGCAGCTGATGGTTTGAAAAATGGACAATAAAAAAGGAGACCTGTTCTCAAGATCCACACGGAGCTTTTCAAATGAAAAAGATTTTAGTTCTTCTGGCATCGTTTTCCACAGCATAAAGTTGTTATTTGGGTTGGTTAGGCACAGACTTTCTTCAGTGATGGTGTTGAGAAACATTGATTTCAACTCCCTATAAAGTTCTTTATGAGTTGAAATCAATTTAGCAGCAGTCTTCCACTGTTTATTAGTGATGTTTTGAATGATCCCAGCTTCGGAAGGGGAGGAAACCTTGAGAACAGTTTTACTAGGGTACTCAGTAATGACCTGTGAAATAGAAAGCAAACCAAAAGAACACAAGATGTGTCACTTACTATTCATGACCATTTGTTAAGAACCCCCCCCCTCTCTTCATTATTGTGTTGCACACCTCAAATAAAAACTTTGTGTCTTATACATCTTATAGTAGTAAACCAATGGACGCCATCTCAGACAAGGCCACTCAGTCTGACATGGTGTAACAAAACAGAGGTATAATAGTTTCTTCTACTCATTTACTAATTACTTGAGGATGTCTGTGGCATTTCAGTGAGGGCCATGAATCTTTGATTAAGTAACAAAAGAAAGAGGTGTGAGAAAAGGCTGTGAGGGACCCTGTTGGTTCCAGCCCGTCTGGACACCTGATTAGACGTTGGTATATAGAATATATTAAACTATTTCTATAACACTAATACTACAGTGTGATAATTGATCTGAAGTAACCCAGCAGTTAATGGGGATGTAGAGGTGTATTTTGTTTTCTTGTTTTAGTAAATGATTTACTTGCTTTAGCAAATGTTAGCATATACTGTTAAGATGGCAGATTTCATTTATTTATGACCTTACGCTAAAATAATCAATGTTTGGTGGTTATTTGGAAAAGGGTATTAGGCTGTAATACAAAACTGAGGTTTTAGTCATCGGTCCTGAGGCCCAGAGAGAGAAACTTTTACCAAAACTCCAATCACACTCTTTTAATCCATCATCACAAGTGAAAAACCTGGGCGTAATCTTTGACTCTGAGCTGACTTTTATTCCTCACATTAAGAATATAACAAAAATAGGTTTTTATCATTTGAAGAACATCGCCAGAGTCCGCCCTATTCTCTCTCGGGCCAACACGGAGACGCTGATGCATGCTTTTATCACCAGTCGCATTGACTACTGTAATGCCCTGCTCTCTGGTCTTCCCAAAAAGAACATTTCAGGTTTACAATTACTTCAAAACTCGGCCGCACGTGTCCTGACTAAGACCAGGGGGCGGGACCACATTACACCGGTTTTAAAATCGCTGCATTGGCTCCCCGTGTGTTTCAGGATTGATTTTAAGGTTCTTTTAATGGTTTTCAAATGTCTTAATGGTCTTGGGCCTTCTTATCTTTCAGAACTGCTTTTATCCTATGAACCCTCCCGGCCCCTGCGCTCCTCCGGCAGCAGACTCCTAACCATCCCCAAAGTCAGGACACACACTCACGGCGAGACATCTTTCCAGCACTACGGCCCCCGTCTCTGGAACAGTCTGCCGGAGGAGCTCAGGGTCGCAGAGAACATTCATATTTTTAAAGCCAGGCTCAAGACACACCTTTTTAGATTAGCTTTTGATTAGTATTTATTAGTCCATTTTTATATATTCTATTTATCCTTTATTATTTATTATATTGCTATTGCTTTTATTCATGTTTTGTGTGATAGTTCCTCTCAGGCTCACATTTTAGTGTTTTACTTATTGTATTGTTTTTAAGTATCCCCAGTGTTTCCTCTGGAGGAGCCTTCTGCGCTGGGAGCGGTGGTTGGCTGTGGCTGTGGGGGTCGGACTCTTGGACCTGGTGGGGGCCCGGGGCCTCGGTTTTGGGTCTCCTCTGGGTCCTGTGTCGTCCCCTTTGGCTATGGGCGGCTCTCTGCTCCTGGCGCTGACGGCTCCTTGGATGGCGTTTCTTCAGCCGGTTGCATCTGAACCCTGCCAAGTCTCTTATCGTCGTTTTATTGTTTTATCGGTGCGTGTGTGTGTGCGCGTGTGTATGTGTGTGTGTGGGGGGGGGGGGGGGGGGGGTGTTTGGTTGGGGTGTGGGGGGGGTCTGTTGGGCGGTCGGGGGGAGGGCATGGGCAGGATTGTTTTTTAGCCAAACTGTAAAGCACTTTGTGTTGCATCTGTTGTATGAAAAAGCGCTTTATAAATAAACTTTGATTGATTGATTGATTGAATACTGTACGCACACTACAGTGTATTAAATAAAACATGTTTACCTGTGTGATACTTCGCCTTGCTGCAGTCTGAGTGGTAGGACTCCGGCGAATCTTCTTCACTGCTCTTGGTGTTTTAGATGGAGTACAACGTTCTCGTTTGTCACCTGATTCAGATCATAATTAGAATGATGGTCAGCGAAAAGTCTCACAATATAGGAATTTTCATCTGTGCAGTACTAGTGTTGGGGAGTAAGTAGAATACTCATTTCGTGTAACTGTATTTGGGTAAAGTTACACTATAATTTGTAAATAAATATGCGCCATTTTTACACATAAATACAATGACAATCAACGTGAAAGTATTCTAAAAACCCACTCTTGACAGGTTCAAAGTATTAAGAATACAGAACTCTGGAAAAAAAAATGCTAATCAAAGTACTCTCCCCAACAAGTGATAAATAATAAAACTGTAAGGGCACTCAATTAAAAAAACAAATGAATAAAACATTACAAATGAATCTCAATATATACATGTACCCTGTCCGGCAGAAGATGACCCTTCGGCTGGTGGTGGTTCGGTTGTCAGAGTGTCCTCCTCTTGTTGCCATTTCCGAAAAATAGACGAGTCCCGTTCCAAGCGTCCGATAAGAGTTACGCAAAGTTTGCACAGCCTTTTTGATCTGTTTTTGTCTGGCGTTAACGCAAGACCCAAGCCAGCAAGTCGCTGCAAAATAGATGAGTCTCGTGATGTATTATTCTGTTGAAAAATCAAAGCGGAGCCGCTAATAACTCCATGTATCCTCAAGTTTTTCCCGCAACGACACAAGTCATCGACAACACTCTCTCTTGCGCTAGCCATGTTGAATTAACTTCTTCGGTCATGTCAACTCCGTTTATGTTCTTACTCACTGTAGAGTGTGTGTCGCTTTACTGACGTCATGTCCGCCCTTCGCTGATTGGCTCACTCCCTGTCTGTTTTCTCAGGATTGCTCCGCCTTGGAAATTTGTTTGACGCCACGGTGACCAGACTCACCGGCTGGTACAGCGGTGAGTCTGGATTTTTCCAGGCTACTGTAGTCTCTGTTTGTCCCTGACTCTGACTCCAGCGAACCACACGGTGATGGAGGAGGTGAGGATGGACTCGATGATGGCCGTGTAGAACTGCACCAACATCTGTGCAGGCAGCTTGACTTTCCTGAGCTGCCGCAGGAAGTACATCCTATTGTCTAAAAATAGACTGAACGTGTCCAATTTGATAAAGAGAAATGAAAAAAGCAATATTCCAAAGTTTAACAGTATTGAATTATCTTCACAATCAAATTCTAAACTCAGAGCTCCTATCTAACTGGCTGACCCTATCTAATCCTATGAGCTGAGCATAAAGTAACTGTCCCTAAACTATGGGAGAGGACAATCCAGGCACTCTGCGAATGTCCCCTGTCTATCTGTCCCTGCTCAGACTGACTAACAAAGAAAAAGAACAGTTTTATGTAACATGTAGAAAAACAGGAAGTGCCTCCGCTCACGTCATCTGGACTGGTCTTGGACTCTGGTCTTGGACTTGGGCCCGGGTCCAAGTCTTTGGTCTTGGGACTCTGATTCTGGTCTGGTCCGGCCTTGGACTCTTGGATCGCATCATTCTCCTCCCCCACATTCCTTTTATAAAGGCAGTTTTATTTCCCTTTAAGAAAATGCTAAGTTTAAGTTAATATACTTTATATTTGGGTGTTTGGGTGGGGCCAGGTAGAGTGTAGTTCCTTTTATGTACAGTAGGGGGAACTAGTGAGAGCAATGTGGTAGTGTGGAAGCTAGCCTTGGTTTAGGCCCAACAGTTTTTTGACTGCTTTTTTTGTGGAAAACTGTGGAATGTAAACTGTTCATTTGGAACTCTGAAACCTGTGCATCATTAAAACAACATACTAACGTTATTCCGTAAGTTTGGACATTCAATCTATTTATTTTCTCAAGAACACAAGTCAAGCTAAAGCTATAGCCCAGGCTGCTTACAGTGGCAAAGACACTCTCAACAATTGCCACAACACCTTTTTACTTTGCCTGAAAGACATACAGTACACTCCCAAATCCTAACTTCTCCTTTTAAGTGTAAGAATCTCAGGTCACTGTGACTTGGCCTCTTCTAAATTTCCCCTGTATGTAATAAATTCCATTGTTAGTCTAGCAGGCGTTTAATAAAGGACACACCTGTGTTTAGTAAAAAACATCAACAATATAATTGTTTGTACTTAAAACCACTGAAAATATAAGGTAAATATGTTTATTCACTTTGGTTTTGTGTATCAGCGTGTGCATGTAATATATAAATACAACAATCCTCTGCTGGGCCTTCTTGGTGAGGGAGCTGATGGTCGGCTCCCACTTGAGGTCCTGGGTGATGGTGGTGCCCAGGAACTTGAATGACTCCACAGAGGTGATGGGGGAGTCCATCAGGGAGGGTGGGGGCGGGGGGACTGTGCTCTTCCTGAAGTCCACAATCATCTCCACTGTCTTCTGGGCGTTCAGCTCCAGCTTGTTACAACTGCACCAGGACACCAGCCGGTCCACCTCCCTCCTGTAGGCGAACTCATCGTTGTTGGAGATGAGTCCAATGAGGGTGGTGTCGTCCGCGAACTTGATGAGCTTCACGGAGTCGTGGCTGGAGGTGCAGTGGTTGGTGTCTAGGGAGAAGAGCAGGGGAGAAAGAACACAGCCCTGTGGGGCTCCCGTATTAATAATCCGAGAGTCCGAAACATTCTTCCCCAGACGCACTCGCTGCTTCCTGTCCGTCAGGAAGTAAGTGATCCACCTGCAGGTGGAATCGGGCACGTTGAGCTGGGAGAGCTTGTCCTGGAGCAGGGATGGCAGGATGGTGTTGAAGGCAGAGCTGAAGTCCACGAACAGGACCCTGGCGTAGGTCCCCGGGGAGTCCAGGTGCTGTAGGATGTGGTGGAGGGCCAGGTTAATGGCGTCGTCTACAGATCTGTTGGCTCTGTAGGCGAACTGCAGGGGGTCCAGGTGAGCGGAGGTGAAGGACTTGAGATGTGAGAGGACCAGGCGTTCAAATGACTTCATGACGACAGACGTAAGTGCTACAGGTCTGTAGTCGTTGAGTCCTGTGATCCTGGGTTTCTTCGGGACGGGGACAATGATGGAGGATTTGAAGCAGGCCGGGACATGGCAGGACTGCAGAGAGGTGTTGAAAATGTCAGTGAACACAGGAGTAAGCTCACGGGCGCAGTGTCTCAGAGTGGCCGGGGACACGTGGTCCGGGCCAGGAGCTTTGCGGGGGTGCAGCCTCAAGAAGAGTTGTTTGATGTCTTTTGAGGCTATTGTCAGGCTGGGGGCAGAGCTGATGGATGGATCGTTAGAGTAGTGGGGGGTGGGGGAGGTGTCAGGGGCAGCGGCAAAGCGGCTGAAAAAATGGTTTCCTCTGGGTACTCTGGTTTCCCCTACCACTAAAAATATGTGGCATGTGCCTCCTGTTCGGGCCTCCTCTTTGGCGACCCCGCTCCCATCTCTGTGTGGAGTGAGAGGACAAGTGCCCAAAAATAACAATGTAAACCGCCTTGTGACTCTTGTCTGTGAAAGGCGGTATGAACAATAGAAGGCCATGGCCTATGCAGTAGTACAAAAACAAGATAAAATAGAAGTACAAGACACACAATGTTCTTTGATTGTATATCTGCTACGATTGTGTATCCGTTGTTTTAGCTGACTGACGCCTGGGTTTGGCTCTTTCATGATGACGCAAATTCCAATATATAATGTTTCCCTGTTTATTGTTCTGCCTGAATCTACCACCTGTTGTGAATAAACTTCCAGGTTGCTCTGGTGTGCAAAGATCCCTGCCTATGCGTCTGATTTTCGACAGATTTGGTGGAGGAATGCGGGACTGAGCACACTTTTGCCCTGGTTGTTTTGAAATTGTTTTTTTCAGCGTGAGAGAGCTGAGACTATCTGGGACAGACGCTGTTCCAGCTGGCTGGAGAAGTGGTCGGTTCGGATATTTCTTTGCTCTCTCACTGACCTTTCTGACTTTTAGTGTTTAAATTTATTTTTCCATGTCTGTATTTCGGGGATTTCTGACGTGTGATATTTCTCAGCCGATGGAAACTAGTTCCCGGTACTAGTAAGCATTGTTTCATGATCTGAGAGACCCCGGTTGGACGTGGAAAAAGCTGGTATTTGGTGGACCTGTGGACAGCACCTGGGCCCTGTTCGACAAAGGAAAAGGTAGGCAAGGCAAGGCAAGGCAAGTTTATTTGTATAGCACAATTCATACACAAGGCAACTCAAAGTGCTGAACAAGATAGCATTAAAATCATAAATAATTACAGAACATTAAAACGAAAGATAAAAATATAAAATCCCTCAGTTGTATGCACAGCTAAATAGCACCGTTTTTAACCTGGTTTTAAACATTGTCAGAGAGGAGGCCTGTCTCACATCTTCAGGAAGATTGTTCCAGATTTTAGCAGCATGAATCTGAAAAGCAGCCTCCCCATGTTTTGTTCTGACTCTGGGCACTAACAGGAGTCCAGTCCCTGTGCTCCTCAGAGTCCCAGCAGGAGTCCAGTCCCTGTGCTCCTCAGAGTCCGGGCTGGTTCATATGGTACTAACATGTCACTAATATATTTTGGTGCGAGGCAATGGAGAGACTTGTACACAAGCAGAGCTGTTTTAATAAAGTCTATTCTCTGAGCCAGTGCAGAGACCTGAGGACTGGACTAATGTGGTCGTACTTCCTGGTTCTAGTCAGGACTCGAGCTGCTGCATTTTGAATGTACTGCAGCTGTTAGCGGACACCTGTTAATTCAAAGTCTGCCTCATTGAGTAAGCTAAATTGTGGTCTGTTTTTGGGGTCTGCCAAATGTTTTATCTATAGATAGGATTGTATTGAAGAGAGGTTTGCTACCTGCAGAGGAAAAGGGTTAAAGGCTCAAGGGTTAAAGGCCCACACAAGGGTTAAAGGCCCACAGAGAGGTTTGAGGCCCACAGAAGGTTAGAGGCCCACAGAGATAGGGGTTAGAATCCCCCAAAGGGTTAAAGTCCCACAGAAGGTTAGAGGCCCATAAGAATAGAGAAGCCATGGTATAGAATACATAAAAACAATTTAAAAAAGGGAAACGTTAAATAAGTATGGACCTTTTTGTTACTAGTGTTGAAATGGACCATTTCTATACTTAGATGACAAAAGTATAAAGAAAAACTTCAGACATATTCTTGAAATTGAGTGTAAATTGCATATATTTGGTCTTTAGTATAACTTCTTGTGAATTATAGGAATTTTAGTTTGGTTTTATGTTATATAACTGTTACGGCCCACGGCCCGTACTTCCCTATTTTGGGGATCACTTTAGTTTCTCCCGTGGTGTCTCTGTGTGGTTGTGTTTCCTCCCTTTTTTTCAGAAGATCACGCTCGTGAGTCTTGGGCTCCTATTGGCCAGTCATTCCCCACTTGGAGCTGATTGACCGCGATGCCTGGGTGCTGATTGGGCAGCAGCTGAGGCAGGCCTCCAATCAGCGTGCGCTCACCTGGAGGACCCGCCCTAATAAACTGCCAATCTTCCGCGGCTCGGGGCAGCTGGAGTCAGTGGACTCCAGTTCGCCATTAGTTTTGTCTGTGTTCTGTCACTTGTGCCGGTACCTTAGTTCAGTGACTCGTTTAGTTTATGTTGAGACACTTTAGTAAGCTTTTAGTAAGCTTTTATTTATATATAAAAGGTTACACTTTTGGTTTTGTCAATTGCTTACTTGTTTTAATAGGTTATTTATTTACTGTGTGTTATGTAGATATTAATCCTATTTTGTTTTACCTACTTTGTCACCTAAATAAATTATGATTTTAGTTACCATTCTACCATCTTGGTTATTTTGTTACTTCCTCACACCTAGCTGAGCCGGGTCGTAACAAAAGTGGGGGCTCGTCCGGGATAAATGTAATCCATTTCCCAAAACTAAAATTGTAAGTATATATTTTTTGATAGAGTAGGTGAGTTTGGTGTATTTTTCTGTAAGCAATTTTTGTCTTTGGTGGACAAGTTGGCTCTCTCCATCCAGTGGGATTAGTTTCTGGAGTAGCCAAATTTTGAGAAGCCATTTAGAAGTTAGGGGAACGAATCGAACAATTCTTTGTGCATTTTAGAGACCTATTTTGAAAATATAGTTACTCGTTTGCAAGTGTTCACATTATAAGTTGGTTGGTGGAACATGGCAGTCTCCATTTGCCTGAGGCGGAGGTCGTTGCGGTGCTGTTGGTGTCTGTGAGCGGTAGCACTGTGAAATGTGTGCCGTGCTGTTCATGTGTGTCCTTCACTGGGGATGAGTAGATGCTGAGGTGCAGCGTCCAGACTGATCACCTGTGCGCTCTCCACTGTTAAACTTTTGTCCCCAGCCTCTCGAGTCCTACAAGGCTGCTCTCGGTGCAGACGTGCACTTGGAGGGTTTTCAAACGGATCTCGTGAAACAGAAGGATCATGGAACTCTGTGAGTAGATAGTATAGGCACCTATCAAGAGCAAGTGGTGAAAAGGTGGTACTGCACCCTAAAATCCCCTAGAAAAGAGGCACCGCTATTGAGCAAGTGGTGAAAGGTGTTACTGCACGGTATTTTTCAAAGAGTTTTAATGAGTTAGCTTCTGTGTGTGTGTGATAATGCTTTCACAGTTGTCTAAAGTGATTTATGATCACGGTTTATTCTAAAACAGCTAAGTTGCAGGTCCTCCCTGTTAACGGCACTTAGGTGTATGTGTGTGATAGCGTTATCATGATGAGGATTTATGATCAGGGTTTTATTCTAAAACAGCTAAGATGCAGGTTCCTCCCTGGTATACAGAACTTTAGGTGTAGGTGTGGGAAAGCGTTGTATCATGGATTGGAGACGGTTTTGGGAGGTCGTACTA